TTGTGTAGCCATCACCACCATCCATCTCCAGAACTCTCTTGGTCTTGCTAAACTGAAACTCTATACCCATAGAACAGTAACTCCCCATTCCTCCCTACCCCAGCCCCTGGCAACCACCATTCTACTTTCTGTCTCTATGAATCTGACTACTCTTGGTACCTCCTGCAAGTGTAAACATACAGATTTGCACTTTTGTGACTGGCCTATTTCACTTAGCAAAATGTCCTCAGGGTTCATTCATGTTGTAGCATGTCTCAGGATTTCCTTCCTTTTCCAGGTTGAATAACATTCCATTGGACGTATATGCCACATTTTGATTATCCATTCATCCATCAGTGGAGACTGGGGTTGCTTTCACCTTTTGGCCTTTGTGAATAATGCTGCTATGAGCATGGATGTACAAATATTTGCTCAAGGTCCTGCTTTCAGTTCTTTTGGGTATATACCCGTTAAGTGGAGTTGTTGGATCATATGGCAATTCTATTTAAATTTTTTGAGGAGCCACCGTACTATACATATACGTACATACTGACAGCCACAGTAACTACCGTTTTACATTTCTACCAACAATTTCCCCTCACCAACACTTATTTTCTGTTTTTTTTAATAATAGGCTTCATAAAAGATGTGAGATAGTATCTCATTGTGATTTTGATTTTCTTTTCTCTAATGATTAGTGATGTTGAGCATTTTTTCATGTACTTTTTGGCAATTTTTATGTCTTCTTTGGAGAAATGTCTATTCAAGTCCTTTATCCATCTTCTAATTAAGTGGTTTGCTGTTTGTTATTGTTGAGTTGTAGGAGTTCTTTATATATTCTAGATGTTAACTCCTTATCAGATATATAATTTGCAGATTATTTTCTCCCATTCCATCAGTTGCCTTTTCACTATTTTGATTGTGTCCTTTGATACACAGTTTTTGATTTTGTTATAGTCCAATTTCTCTATTTTTACTTTTATTGCCAATGCTTTTGTTGTCATGTCCAAGAAATCATTGCAAATCCAATGTCATGAAGCTTTTCCCCTATATTTTCTCCTAAGAGTTTTGTAGTTTTAGCTCTTCTATTTAGGTCTTTTGATCCAGTTTGAATTAATTTTGTATAAGGGTCAAATTTCATTGTTTTGCACGTGGGTGTCTAGTTTTCCCAGCACCATTTGTTGAAAAGATGGTTTTTCCCCATTGAATGGTCTTGGCACCCTTGTCCAAAATCATTTGACCATATGTATGTGAGGGTTTATTTCTGGCCTTTCTAGTCTGTTCCATTGGTCTATGTGTCTGTCTTTATGCCAGTGCCACATGGTCTTGGCACCCTTGTCCAAAATCATTTGACCATATGTATGTGAGGGTTTATTTCTGGCCTTTCTAGTCTGTTCCATTGGTCTATGTATCTGTCTTTATGCCAGTGCCACACAATTTTGATTACTGTAGCTTTGTAGTAAGTTTCGAAATCAGGAAGTGTGAGACCTCCAACTTTGTTGTGCTTTTTCAAGATTGTTTTGGCCTTTGAGGTCCCTTGAGATTCTGTATGAATTTTAGGATAAATATTTCTATTCAAGCCAAAAAAAAAAAAATCCACTGGGATTTTAATAGGGATTGCATTAAATCTGTAGATAATTTTGGGTAGCAATGAATCTTAATGATATTAAGCCTTCCATAGATTGTTATACATTTCTGTTTATTCTAGTCTTTTAGCCAGTGTCAAGACTGTGGATGAAGTCCCTGGAGATACACTCTGAAAAACTGAGAAACAAGGGCATTTTTCCTACACCACCTCAGAATCAGGGTCTGTGCAAGGCTGGGGGCTTGAGGGGAGACACAAAGATGAGGAAGGTGTGCTCCAGCCCTGAGGAGCTCCCTGCCTAGTGGGAATTGGCAGTTGTGTAAACACAACACCAAAATACACTGGGAGATGTGCTCTAAGTGCTGCAGGGTCAACAGTGTTTATTGAGGTTCAGGCTTGAGGGTGGTAGCATCCTACCAGGGGATTTCACACTTAAGTTCACTTGCCTGTGAACTTCAGGTCAGTAGAGCCTCAGGAGGGCCACTGGGAAAGTCAGCACAGGCATATACTTGCTTGGAAGTGCTGGAGAAAGATATTTTTAAAGGTCTTCTTTTAAAAATTGCTCTCAGAGGTAGTAGAATATTCTTTTGAAGCC